TTTTCTTTCTTATAGCATTTTTACATTCTTCATTCCACCATGGGACTATCTTATTCTTTCTTCCCCCTCTGCCCTTTGGTATATACTTATTTGCTGCAATTAGTATCGCTTGTACTATTTCTTCACTTATCATCTCTACCGACCTATCTGATTCTACTATAATATTATTTAAACCCTCTTCACTTAATCTCGTAAATTCTTCCCAACTCGCTTTGTCGTACTTCCAATTACAAATACTTCCTTTACTTACACCATTTCTTCTTGCGTTTACTCTTATTGATATCATAATAGGGTAGTGATCACTCCCAATAGTGTCTTGTCTCATTATTTCCCATTCAGCACTCCCTGCAATTGCGTCAGACACCATTGTTAAATCAAGCACAGACTCTTTACCTGTTGCCACATTTACCCTTGTGTTATTCCCATCATTTAAACATACCAAATTTCTCCTGTCTATCAAATCTTCCACCACCAATCCATTGCAATCTGTCACTAAACCTCCCCATAACGTGCTCTGTGCATTAAAATCCCCACACCAAATCACCCTATCTTCATTTTGACCCTCTATTTGTTCTAACTCATTCAACAGTAATTTCTTACAAGGATTATAATAGTTTATTATTACATAATTTATTCCATTCACCCAAACCTCTACTATTACATACTCTTTTATTACACCTTTGCCTAACGTTCTATATTGTATACCTTCCTTAATCAGAGTAATACACCCTCCACCATTACCCTCCTCACGATCTCTTCTCTCACTAACGTATCCTTTTAAAACAAAATCAAATCTGGGTTTAAGCCAAGACTCTTGTATACATATTAAATCAGGTTTACTTTCCAACTCATTGATAACACTTTTAAATTCCAATCCGTTAGCCACAAGACTTCTCGCATTCCATTGTAAGATTAAAATCATCCCTCCTATCCAATCCAAGCTTCCTGACTTGACTGGGATTCAGTCACCAGCCCATCCCTGATCTTTACCCATGATATATCCTTTACTCCTAAAAACCTCTCTGCTGCCCTGACTATTATTTGGATCTTAATTTTTTTCTTTTCTGTTTGGGCTGTGCAATTAATTACCTCAGCTATGAATAACTAAAAATTTACTTTGCTCACAATCATAGTATCCTCTTTGATCCTACCATCCAACTCTGAATTAACCTCGACCCTATCCTCTTGTTGCACATCTTTCACTTTCTCTTTTTTCCTTGCAATGACCACTTTAACAGCTTCTGCATATGTTATGTTCTCCTTAGCTTTCTCATTCTGCACTTCAATAGCTCTTTTCCTCACCTCACATCCCCCAAATGCTACAATATGACCACCTCCACAGTTGCAAGACCTAATCCCTGCTCCTTCACATTTTCCATAATCATGCTCCCCCCGCATCTTGCGCATCTTTTCCTGGACTTACACACCATAGCCACATGCCCAATTATAGCACCTTAATGGAGGAGGCACGAAAGGCCTAACTGTGTAACTAATAAATCCAAGTTTTACCTTATCCGGCATAACATCTCCATCAAATCTGAGCTCAACTGAAAGACTCTCCATTCTATTCCCTTCTCTAGTCATAAACAATCTCCTAGCACCAACTATTTGCCCTCCGTTTACATTGTTTTTAAGCTCTTCCATAGACACATCTAGTGGCACTCCAGTTATCACTCCACTCCACACCACCACTTCCTTCTTACATATTACTTTGATTCCCATTTACGGTCAAAGCGATGCTATTACGCGTACATTGGCAAGGCAAGGCAAGTCTCTCTCTCTCTTGGCTTTGTTTGTGTGTGTACATCGGTGTATGACATCAAAATACCATACAGACTTGCCTTGCCTTGCCAATGTACGCGTAATAGCATCGCTTTGACCGTAAATCCCACCTTCTCACACACACCATGATTGGTCCATTATGTACAATGCCTGCATGTTATTGGTCAAACTACTTTTCGATCATTACCTTCAGCAAGCGTGAAAACAAAGCCAAAACAAATCCTGGCAAGGACGCGTCCGGGAAAAATGGCACGTATGGTCACCCTAGTCTATCACCAATTGACTGCAGGGATTTCTAAAGTGTTCCTTGTCATCTGGCTGGTAAAGTCAAGTCAAATGTATTTGTATAGCACTTTTCACAAAACAAAACAAATAAATCTTTATCGTCAAGCCTTATAGTCCACATGTGTCAAACTCTGGTCCTGGAGGGCCACTGTCTGTAGTAGCTCACTGGAAATTTCTAGTGAATCTGAAGACCTTGAGTAGCCGGTTCAGGTGTGATTAATTAGGGTTAGGGTTAACTCTGCAGAACAATGGACATCTAGGAACTGAATCTGACATGCTTGGTTTACACACTGCTCATATATGCAGTGTAAAACAATCAGAATCGCAATCAGAATGTTTTTTTTCCCACGTTTTATTGTTTAAAAATACATAGTACAATAATGGTTAGTTTACAGTGAATTTACAATCCAGTGTTTATGTAAAAGTGACATATTGAGGTAATCAGATATGACCAAACTGTTCTCCTTATTCTTCACATTGTTCTGTATGTTGTTAAAATGACATTTTTTTTATTTATTAATTTGTGCCTTTTGTAACTGTCAATGTGATTTAAAAATATATTTTAGGTGTAAGATTGAGAATTAATGTATGCGAATTTTGAATAAATCCAATACACCTAAACCAGGTGTGCCCAACCCTGCTCCTGGCGATCGACTGTCCTGCAAAGTTCAGCTCCAACCCTAATCAAACACACAGGAAGCAACTTATTAAGGTCTTCAGGATCACTTAAAAATGAAAGGCAGGTGTGTTTGATTAGAGTTGGAGCTAAACTTTGCAGGACAGTTGATCGCCAGGAGCAGGGTTGGGCACCCCTGACCTAAACAATAAACCAGAATCTCTTGGTAGCCTTTCAGTAAATTGATTTATCATAAGAAAATGATTCATAAAATACAAAGTGGAAGGGTAACACTTTATTTCAATAGTCCACTTTAGCAGGGGCGTAGCAAGCTTTTCAAAAGTGCGGGGGATGGATGTGGTTTGTTTATTAACAATAAAAACGATGAATACAGTGACAGAGAGGTACAAAATGTATAACATACAAGATATAAAAAGCTTCCCATTTAAATGAGTGATACACACTCGGAACACACGGAAAATAAGTCAAAACTCTGTTGTGAAAATACACAACAGTAGACTTGCTAAAGAATCAGAAATACTTTAATAATCCCAGGGGGAAATTATTTTTGTTACAAACTCCAGATATACAAACAACATATATTAAGAACAAAAAAAAAAATTATATATATATGCAACCAACAACAACAACCAACTGACCAATGAACATATGACCAACTACCTCTCATTTAAAAGAACCAAAAGTGCTCTTTCTGCCCTCCTTACAGGAGACAAACTGTTCAGCAATCTTTTTTCTGTTTACCCTGTCCAGCTTGTCTTTATGTACATTGCACACAGCAACACTGTTGAGGCGGGTTTGGGTCATGGGGCTGCGAAGCCATGTTTTCAGCCTCCCGAGGGTGCTGAAACTCCTTTCTGACTCTGCTGATGACACAGGCACAACTAGGAGGAGTCGGGTAACTGTTTCGACTTGGTCAAAGAGACCACGGACCTCTGGGGTCATCCCTTGAAGAACAGCAACAATTTCAGTACTAGACTGGAAGCTGTACTTCATTCTGAACAATGCAAGCTGAATTTTGAGGATGTCTGGGTTGATTTCTGGGTACTGTTGGACAACACCATGTATCTTTCCAGTTAAGAGAACTTGTTCCAGGTGCCTTAACATTTGCATTCCCTCCTGCTCAAATCTTTCTCTAAACTGCATGTCAGCAACATCCAGAACTTTGTAGAATTCAGTCCTGTAGTAGTCAGAAGGGAACACGTACATGTGCAGGAGCATTACCTGTGAAGCGCTGAGGTGGGATACGGACACGAGGAGAGGCAATAGGAGTGAGATGGAGTGTCTCACACATCCTTGTTGCTTTCGTGTAAAGAGCCTGAAAACTCTCTGTGTTTCTCTTTTTGCTGAAACTTTCCTTAACACAGGCAACAGCTGAAAGCATACCATCTAGGGTCTGTGTTCTGCTCTGGAGGGACATATTCAAAACCTCCAACTCCCCTGTGATCTCCAAAGCACATACAAGACCAAGGATAACATTTCCCTGCTGAAATGTCTCATACAGCCCCTGTGCCTTACTAGCCGCATCAGACTCACTCACTGCCATCTCAGCCAAAGCCTTGAATATGCACTCGTACTGGTTTAGCACAGTGCAGATGGCACTAGTGCGGACCGTCCACCTTGTTGGACACAGAGGTCTTATAGTGTGACATGAACCCTCACCCTCCTCAGACCTTGCAATTCCCTTAAATATGTCCTTCAGTTTCCCTGACTGCCCAAACAACACTCCCAACTCATTGACCCAATCCAGAGAATTCCGGATAAATATTGAGGCAGTACAGGACCTCTGTGTAATTAGGTTAACACAGTGGGCAGCACAATGAACATAGGGAGCCAGAGGTTGTATTTTTCTTACAATGGCCTGTGCTCCATTGTATTTGCCAACCATATTTGCGGCCCCGTCGTATGCTTGGCCACACAACCCAGTGATAGGCAAGTTTAGGCGCTGCAAAACATCCATGACTACTTTTGCTAGATTTTCTCCTGTTGTCAAAGAAACCTCATAAAGACCAATAAATTCTTCACGAGGGACTAAATCCTTGTCAAGATATCTCAAACACACTGCCTCTCATCTGTTCCATCCATCCACTGTCCCATCCATCATCACAGAGTACTGCAGGTGTGGAAGTAATCTGATGTTTTCGCGTATGATCACGCTGCTGAACAAAGTCAGGATTTCATTTTGAACCATAGCTGAAGTATATACATCCTTTCTACCACCTGTCAACCACTTGGTTAGAGAGGGGTCATCCTCTGATTTGTACTTCAGAACTTGTTCAAAATTTCCCTCACCACATTCATGGCCCCTAAAAGGTAAGCCCTGCCTAGCCAACGTGATCTCATGAAAATACGTGTGTATTTGTACGTAAAATTTGTCAATTGCAAACGTATGCATGTGACGTTTAAATAGACGAATATATGTACGATATACACGTATTTGGGCTTCAAAAACGTAAAGGTTTATATGTATTTTCACATAAATAACGTATAAATGCTTACGTATAGCCTATACTTTAAAGTGTATAGGCGGAGCGTGGCCACATCGGATAATGTGTGTTTTCTACCAAATTCCACGGATGATTCTTATAACTGCTGCTTATTCGATCAGCTATTGCGCCTTGTAATGTCCTTTTTAAATAATAATAATAATAATAATAATACATTAATTGGCGTCCAGATCCTTCACTTTCCTTTAACGTGTTACAGAAGACACGCATGCATCCACTGCGCTGTTTTGTTCAGATTCTGTTGTAGTAAAAAAACATGTTATCTATTACACAGCATATTTTGCAAGATCCAGTTATGTCGACTCCAGTTATGTCAACTAACTTCTTCTATAGCGTCTGATTAGAATTCGGTGTGAAAATTGGCCTAAACACGTGAGCGTCATTACTGCATACAATATTAATGTAATACCTTTAATATTAGTATATAGCTATTATTGCATTTGTAATAGGCTATTTTTAGTCTATTGAACAGAAGCATAATATTTTACGTAAAGGATAATAAATGTAGGTTACATTGGGGGGGTTGTGATTGATTACCATTACACACACACACACTTTTTTTTTTGTAGTAAAATCATGGTTGATTTTAGTAAGGCTGGCAGTTGAGGACAACTGTAATGTCGCCTTGAGAAAGAAATGTAAATTTATGTTAAGACGATTTTGTATTTACATAATAAGAAAGCAATTAAGACTGTCTCCATATGCAAGTCCTTTAATATATTTACATAATGTTTAGGCCACCCCCCTGGCTGTATGTGTAGTTTGTATGCATATTTTTGTTTGCGTTTTATGTTTTCATGTGTATTATTGTAGTTCTAACTGTACTTTGACTGTGTTTATTGAGGTTTAATAAAAAATTAAAAACTGTAATGTTGCGACTGACCAATCAAAATCAAGGATTTCAGAGCGTGCGTAAAAAATTTCATAAAATGTGGTAAAAAATATTTGAAATAAAGCATGAAATATAATATATTATTTATAATTAGCATAGGCTTTAATAACAAACACAATACCATTAGGGTATAATTTTTGGGTGAACTATCCCTTTAAGTGTGTGCACATGTGTATGTATTTGTGTGTGTGTGTCCCCGTGTGTCCGTGCATGCGTGCGTGCGTGCATGTGTGTTT